TAAAACTAAACGGCAGTAAGTTAAAATATTAGAATATAACAAAAATTTTAAAGTCAGTATATTAATGAAATTAAAAATTAAACAAGTTTGAAAAATATTGATTTCTTACCGGAACTTTGCTACTGATTAATAAATCCACAACTACAGATCTAAGTGTGTCTCTATTTTTGTCAAGGAATCCATCTACAGAATACCAAACTTGTCCAGCATAATGTTTGATACCAAATTCCATGGAAGACATTCTAGGTCTGCTATAAAGATCGTTCAGAGCGTGATTGTAATGGCACTTTTCTAGGAAAGATAAATCTGTTGCCTGAAATATGAATTTAATATCAATTTGTTTAATATAATTTTATTTTATAAAAATAGTTTCTTCTTTTTTTCTTATAGATTAATTTTTAATACCTTAGGGAAATTACTTTCATCATCGAGAAGAGAAAGTATCCCTACTGGCTTCTTTGCTATCAGACTAAGCACTGGTTGATTGTCTTGATAAGAAATAGGTTGCCATTCGATCTTTTCCCGAGCATATTCTTGTTGTTCCAATTTAAATACGTGTTTGTTAAAATAAAATTGAAGCGTTTCGTTCGCATAATTAATACACAACTGCTCAAAACTGTTTTCCTTGAAATCCTTCATAATAATTAATGAAATTTAAATACTAATACTAATAATAATAATTTCAATTAATGACAGACATATTTTTACCTCGAAACCAAATATATCTAATATAGCAATTGATGTTTTCTTTGAACCTTTACAGACTATTTTATTGATTCTATGCACTAGCCAAGAAAATAGGCTCGAATATAGTGCTTTTGAAATGGCATCTCTACAAAAGTTAAAAAATTATCAATATTCAATTATTTTAAAAAAAATCAATATTTTTTAAAATTTGATTTATTACCTGGCATCTAATGCTTGATCAATATTGAGTGCAGTCAAAACACGTTCATTTCGAGCTTCCTAGAGCAAAAAAAAAACAATTTTTAAGTAAAAAAATATTGTAATTTGCTAATTCATTTAGTAATAAATATTGCAATTTATTAATTGTATTTTCTTACTGTTGTCCTTGTAGTGAGTGCGCGAAGAATTCCATCAACTGACAATTGTAAAAGATGGGATGCCCATCTGATTTCTGCGTCACTACCAATTTCTACTCCTTCTTGACCGTGTTTAAGCTAAATATATATTACTTTTACATTCGTATCTCAAATATAAGTTCGTATTCAATTATTTTAGAGAACTTACCTGTTTTCTGTGAAAGTATACATTGCCGAAATGGAGAACTGCTGCTAGCATACGAAATATCGTATCCTGTTCATCGGAAGTAAATCCTAAAACTTGCATAGCAGATAGAAGAGACCGAAAATCTTCAGCATCATCTTTACATTCTATTCTATATGCTCCGCCCTAAAACATATATATTTTTCTAAATATATGTATATATAGAAGATAAAAACTAATCAAAATTATATATAATCTTATTCTTATACATTTTATATATATTTTATAATTAAAAACGCACTTGTAATAAAATAAATAATAACATTTGGTAGTATTACAAATATTTAATTATATAATTCTAAAATATGTAAATTATAAATCATTTTTAATAAGAAGTCTTGTCCTAAAAAANAAATAATAACATTTGGTAGTATTACAAATATTTAATTATATAATTCTAAAATATGTAAATTATAAATCATTTTTAATAAGAAGTCTTGTCCTAAAAAATTGTCACAATTATACACACACACAATTTAATAATGAAACTTTGACGTTTTTCTGTAAAAATAATTATTTAAGACTGTCGAATTTCATTTAAATGTTATAAACACAATACCGATGTTTTTCTCTCTCTTCTATCAAACAATTTAAAATTTGTATTAAAAACTTGACGAAGGAACAAACTAAAGCATTAGAAATATTAATTATACTTAATATGTTATGTAAAAGTTAACTTTCCAAAAAATCTTTTTTAAACCAAAAACTATAAAGTTTTGAAACAGAATTTTAATCAATAAGATTAATTTCATAGTTAAAAATATTGGATCACGGAGTTCTTTAAAATTACAAAATATAGGCCTACATAAGATTATCTGATAATATTCGGGTTTCCATTAAACTAAAAAGTAACTTTATTAGACGAAAAATAATCGATAAACTTATTCCATTTCAGATAAGAAGCTTGAAATCAAATTAACTTTTGTTTTACCTGATCACAATAAAATTATATTTAAATATATATATTTTAAAAATATAATTATTGCTAAGGAAAATATCTTTTCAAGCACAGAAAATCAAATTTTCCTATTATCTAAATTCTACTTGCTGTTATTCAACATATTTTACTTTCCTCGATCTAAAAATTTTTAAATATGTTCTTCATTACTTTCCTTCCACGGATGGAAAGTTTGAATTAAAAACAAAAAGAATGATAGTAATTTTACAGTCTAATAACTTCTATCGTTAAAATTTACAATCATCCAGGAGAATTCTCTACATGATTCTTCATTTCTGAGTTGAATTAGACTTTCTATACTTTCATTTTTATTATAATAATTGAAAGTGTAAAGTGTTAAGTGTATATATATAGCCTATATAT